GAGAGAGAGAGAGAGAGAGAGAGAGAGAGAGAGAGAGAGAGAGAGAGAGAGAGAGAGAGAGAGAGAGAGAGAGAGAGAGAGAGAGAGATGGGGTCACAAAGTAGGACAGAGAACAAAGGCATGCACACAGTGTTCTGACATCCCCTTTAATGCATGTGGTGGCTTGCTTGTGTTCAGGAGCGACTGATGAGCGTTCCCTATGGTGAGGGAAAGGAGGCTGAACATTTTAGGTTCTCGTTGTTCCTAGTCTTGTGCAATCGTTTGCTTACTTCTGCAGCGGCGATCATCTTTCTCGTTGTACGTGGTGTCGGGATGTACTTTCTTCCTCTCCCTCTGAGCCCTCTCCCATTTCTTTGCCTAAGGGCCCTTAGAGTCCTTTCCACCTTAGAGTCCCTTTTCTTTGCGTAAGGGCCCTGAGAGTCCTTTCCCTTTTCTTTGCATCAGGGCCCTTAGAGCCCTTTCCCTTTTCTTTGCCTAAGGGCCCTTTGTAATGACCCCCAAAACTGGGAAAGCTGATACCATCAAGAGATTGCCCGAACAATGACAATCACAAAGAGATTGCCTGTAGAGCAGGGCCCAGACAAAGGAAGAGAGGAGCGTCTGTGCTGCTATGCGCGTTTTGACCTCTGGAATTCTGCTCTGGCTGAAGGTTCGACCCGGGGCCCCGAGGACAAAAAAAACTTGTGTCCCTTTGAAACAATTCCTCAGGCTTGACCAGGGACTTTAGGACCAACTTTTGACTCCCTGGAATTCTTCTCTGGCTGAAACTTTGACTGTGAGGACTATGTTTTGAGAACTTTTGACCCTCTAGAATTCTTATCTGGCCTAAGCTTTTGACTGCAAGGACCGATTTATGACCCCCTGGAAATTTTCTTTTCGGGTTGAGCAGGGACTGTAGGACCGATTTTGAGTCTTTTGACCCTCCTAGATTCTTATCTGGCCGAAAGTTTGAACCCGAGGACTGACTTTTGCCCCCCTTGAAGTCCCATCTGGCAAAAAGTTTGACCCCAGGCAGCAACTTTTGACCCCCCAAAAAATTCTTATCGGGTTTGACCAGAGACTGTTGGACCACCTTTTTTTGACTCCACAAAATTTTCTTATCTGACCAAAGCTTACAACCCCGAGAACTTTTTCCGTGCTGCTGTGCAGGTTTGACCTCTATTTCTTGCAGGTTAGAGCCCTCTTTGTCTGTTCTATTGTGGGGAGCATTGCCTATGTTTGGTCATCCACCAGGAGGTTGGAAATATAGGATCTCATGGAATTACAAAAAGGAATCCTGTGGAACTTGTGCAATTAATTCCTTTGGAAAAACTGTCTCCTTGTCAGCAGAAAGTTCCTATTTTCGCCTCTTAATTTTGACCTACAAACCGTCTCCCTGTCCTTATGATGGCAATTGAGTTCCTCCTCTCTCTTTTTTTGCAATCCCTCAAGTTCCTCGACACACAATTTTTTTTGTGAGGGTTGCACTGCTGTGTGATTGTACGACTGGTTGACAGTTGAGACAGGAAGTGAGGCTGAGAGTAGCTGCCGTCGACGGGTGCTGGGTGCCATAGCGTAGAGTAGCATACCTGGGGAGAGAAGACATTTAGAGAGATTGAGGCCTGTGGGTGTGTGCGCGCGCGCGCGCGCGCGCGCGAGAGAGAGAGAGAGAGAGAGAGAGAGAGAGAGAGAGAGAGAGAGAGAGAGATTTTGGAAGTTTTCATATCTCGTGCTTTAGTTTCCGATTCTCGTGTGATGAAGTGTCACTTGGTGTTGCATGGGATGTTGGTTTGAGTTCTGGACTCGTTGCACTAGCGAAAAGTTTTAAGAAAATTGCTAGAGGCATTTTGAAAAAAACGTATGAGCAATCTGGGGAAAATATTGCTGGAACGATTTCAGTGAAATCGTCAGAGCAATCTGGGCAAAAAACTGCTAGAGCGATTTTTGGCAAAACAAAATGCTAGAAGCTTAGGACGATTTTGGCAAAGAACTGCTACAGCAATGTGGGCAGAAAAAACGATAGAGCGATTTTGGCAGAATTGCTAGAGCCGTGGATCCAATTTTGTTTTGTGGTTAGAGAGCAGTCTGCGACTTGACATGTGAGAAAAAGGAAAGAGAAAGAGGAAAAGGTTAAAGGCAAAATTGAAAAAAAAACTGTGAAAAAAGGCCCAGCGCATGCCAGTGGTGTATGACTCTGAGGGCATACTCAACGGCGACCGGATGACCTTAAGTCCCAAAATTTGAGGCAGTTTTCAGGTCACATTGGAGAGGCCCGCTACCCAAATGCCTCAAATGGTGACCCTTTTGTCAGCGGCCTGTGGGGCCGGGGGAGGATCCTTTTTGAGACCACCTCCACAGGTGGTCTCAAATGCCCTTTCTTTTTTTTTCTTTTCTTTTTGTGTTACCTATTTGCAAAAAAATCATCGAAGAAGAAAACAGCTGGCCAAACAACTGGACAGGCGGGATTTGGGGCAAGTGGTTGTTTTGGAGCGCGTTGGGTAGTCATATATCAAGCACATGCAAACTTGCACGCTCTGTTGTCCTGTGTCGCAAAGGTACAGTAAATTCTCCGCCATTTCCATCTTAACGCTTCTGGCGGAGGGTGCGCCCACCTCCGCCCCTCTCCCCACACCTTTGCCTGTCTCTGCTTCCCCATCCCAACTCCCTTCCGCACATCTCCGCCTCTAGTTCCCCATGCTTCCCACGAGTGAGAAAGTCGGGAATGCCTGTGAACTGTATCTGGAGGGTTTTGCAGTTCTGATGCATCCCCGACGTTGAATCCACCCATTTGTATCGGCCCAGGGGAACAGTGCGGATACATGGAACAAATTTGTGTTACGATCCTGGTCATTTCCCAAGTGCAAATTCACAATGAAAGACAATGCCACCCAATTGTGAAAGAAATGAAAGCACTTGCAAAGAGATAAAGACCAGAAGAGAGGTAAAGACCAGAAGAGAGGTAAAGAAGAAGAAGAAGAAGAAGAAGAAGAAGAAGAAGAAGAAGAAGTACACCAGCAAGACCAATGACAATTCCCCCTTCTCTCTCCACCTTCCTCCTTCCTCCTTCTCTTCACCAATCTTATTCTTCTCTCAATAATAATAATAACAATGAATGGATGAACCAGAATCAATGTCCGAAGTTCCCCCTTACTGCTGACTCAACTCACAACAACAACAACAACAACAACAACAACAAGTCCACCATGGCTATGTCCTGTCTCTTTCAACCTCCTCTCTCATGCATAGGCCATGGCGGACTACTGGGTGGCAGCTATGGTGCTGCCCTGATGTCCAGAAGACAACCCAAAGCAGCTATGCCGCTGCTTGACTTGGTCCGCTATGCCTGACTCTGCCTCGAGCTGCCCTGGTGCAGCGCTACCCCAACTGGGGCCTTCCAGATGCAGCGCCCAACAAGGTGATGAAGACGGTGTCCACCACAGCCAGGTAAGTGCCCTACCACTCTCCTACCATGCCCCCTTCTTCCTCCTCCTCAAGCTGGGGTGCTCGCCATAGCCAGGCTGAGCCCCAGCGGACCTTCACCTCCAAGCAGCGCTGCTTCAGTCCAGCGCTGCGCTCCAGCAGCATGTCGCCAATCCTTGCATACCGCAAATGAGGAAGAGCTCTCCGCTCGTCCTGAAGATATAGCGGCCTACCGGCCTCCTGGGCGGTGACTTCCTAGGCCAAGCGGCCTCCCAGCAACCGGTACCTCCTCCTTTTTGGAGGGAAACATCATTGCAGGCTCTGTTATTGTCCGCACAGGCCCTAGACCCGGGCTACTTGGACTGGTACCGGCCTACCTCTAACCTACCGCTACTGGGCCTCTAAAAATGCCAACTTTTTGTCTTCTTCTGCTCGGCCTACCTGCTACTTGAGTGTTTTTCCCCAGCTGCTCTAAGTGCCGTGGGCCTACTCCCCGCTACCCATGTGTTTACCCCCCTGCAACCCTTCCAAGTCACGGCCACAGGTAAGTACCGGCCCGGTGGGCCTTGCAACCAACAAGTACCCTTGCGGGTCACACACACATACCCAACCAGCAAGCACTCAGACAGGCATGCAAACCAGCAGGCACGCACACACACACAGCCGGCAAGCACTCAGACAGGCATGCAAACCAGCAGGCACGCATACACACAGACTTGGGACCACAGCAGAATGCGGGAATCACAGCAAGGCATTCATTCCATTGGCAAATCCCAGAAATCAGCAGTGTTCTCAGTCTGTGTTTTTGGTGGGTCATTACATTTGCATGTATTTGCACTGTTCCCGCGGGCTAATGCGAACGGGGTGATTCAACGATGGGAATGCATCAGAACTGCAAACCCTTCCAGATACAGGCATTTTTTGAAACGCACCAGCACTGTTATGCGGGGCCCATACAAACGGGTTGATTTGCATGTATGTTTTTGGATGCACCAGCACTGTTATGCGGGGCCCATACGAACGGGAAGACAGCACTAAATACACCGGCGATAGCTCCATAACCACCGCTGGTAGCAGCCCCAGTGGACGTCCAAAGCTGGGCGACGTCCGAAGCTGCATGAAGTTAGCTCCAACTGTGCCAATGGATGTCCAAACCTACAAGGACATAGCGGGCAGTTCGTAGGCGTCGGGATGCTGAAGCGGCACTTCACTTCTCTGGTGGAGTGCACTGAAGCGAGAGTACACTGGCGGGGCCTCCCTTCACTTCGAAACATCTATGTTGCAGCGAAGGCCCACGCGTTATTTTGGTGTGTAAAAAAAAAAAAACCAACTCCGTCTACTTTTTCAGTCCTCACCTGTGTGACTACGCACACTTGGGCACAGGGTGAAGTGTCAGGGCCGCGACTTCGTCCTTTCTGGACGAAGTCCGCCCTTGTGACTACACGAGGACCTAAAGTCCCAAACAGGCCTACTCAAATGCCTCAAAATGTTGAGACTTTTGGTCCTCGTGTGAGTATGCCCTGAGTTCTGATGATGACAGTGCCCTTTTCCTTTCTGTTATAAGGACAGGAAATGGTGCAGTGAACAAAATAACAGACAAAAAAGTTTTAAGAAACAGTGTAGCAAAAAGGAAAAAAATACTTTTGCAGACAAGAAAGTTTCAAGTAAATGGATTACTCTGAACTCTGGTGGTGTTTTCTTTTTGTCCCCCCCCCCCCCCCCCCCCACAGGTACAAAGAAAGGAAATGGCTCCTGTCGCACCAATTCACAAGTATGGTGCTGTTTCACTCTCAAACGTGATTGCTACGACTTGTCAATATGAGGTATTGAGTCCAGTCAACTCTATGGACTTTTCTTTTTCGCTTTTTTTTGTTTTTGTTTTTGTCCCCCCCCCCCCCCGAAGAACAGAAGAAATCTCTGTTCAAACTTCAAAGTCCAAAGTTCAAACTATCTATTTTCAAAACTCCTTTTGTTTTTGTGTTTTCGTTCTGCTTCCTTTTGAGTTAAATAAGCCCAACTGCCATAATCAGATGGCATACAGCCTCCCGAGGAGTAGGTAGGTGAAACTCCGACGAAACTTTCTGCTTCCTTTGAGTTAAATAAGCCCTACTGTGTTATAGTTTTGAACAGGGTTTGTGTATCTGTTACATTTTGTCCTTACTTGGGTTATGAGCTTGAATAGCATTACGGGTTTTGATTCTTTTGAACTGTAAATCTACTGGGTTGTGCCCGTGTTGTGTACCTATTGTTTTGATTTTGTTGCTTGGATAGCCGACAACGGGCCTCGAACCCGTACCTGGGTGGGACATGCATTTCGATTGCAGGTATTAGTAGTTTGGTAGTACGCCATTCGGTTCGACCTTTCGACCTTCAGATCGAGGGACCAGGCCTGGTTGGCCTTCTCGGATGATCTTGATACTACGACTTGTTTCCAATCGGGATCAATCTGTGGAACTGTTCTGGGACTAGACCTGCTGGAACCGGAGACGTCGGACTGTCAGCCTGGTTTGGACTATTAAGTACGTAGATGTTTAGTGTTGATGACCTCTCAGGTGTGACTTATGGTACGGCTACTACTGTCCGATGGCGGTAGTAGTTCATTGAGTATCTACATGTCTATACATTGATTGTTTGTGTGATTACTCCTTCGAGTCTTCGCTGGAATTCTCTATGCATGTGACGTACTTTCGAGTGATGTATTCCTATTCCTATTCCGCTTCTCCCTCTCTGTTTGACAATATATTAGCAATTTAGCATTTAACAAATTAATAACTAAGTTGTTTTTCCGGGCACCCGGGCACCCAGCTTCTGCCTGGATTCACGCCCGGTTGTCCGGCCGGGCATGACCCCTGGGCAGGGTTCCCGGCAGCCCCAGCGCAAAAAAAGAAAGTAAGAACATCTCAAAAGTTTCGGGAAAAAAAAATGTTGTGTAGATTTGCAATGTAAACAACTTTTGGCTGGGGGTCACACCTGAATTCCTCATTGAATAAACATAAAAAAAGAAAATAACAGAATCAGACCAAGGTACCCCCCTTTTTAAACCCCTTCAGCCCTTTTGAAGCCAATTTATACCCCCCCTTACCCCCCCTTGCCAGCCAATACTCAAAAACAGAGAAGAGCCAGGATTCGGGCTTCTCTGCGAATGCGCGGAAGACCCCCACCTCCAAAAAAGAAAAAAGAAAAAAGAAGACTTGCCCGGGTGCCCCGGGCGACATACCCCCCCGGGCGACTTGCCCGGTTGCCCGGCCGGCCAGAAACAAACAACCTAGTTTAATAATGCATATTCTTTCTGATAACCAAAATTGTAGTGGCTGCACACAGTTGTGTTGTGTTGTGCACTGTACGGTCTTTTCTATTTTTTTGTTATTCTGCTGAAGCCTGAAAGTACTGTGGGGTCATATTAAATGGTGTTGCAGGTCTTGAATTATGCATGAAATGAGAAAAGGGGAAAAAAAAGGAGCAAAGAAAAGAAAATCAGTTTTTGTAACTTTTGGGTTTCCTTAAAGAGAATGGGGTTGTCGAGTTGTTCAAGTTTTTCTTTGTTGTAGTTTACTTGCTGTTGAGGTGTTCAAGGCACCCGGCCCTAATAAAATTACTTTTTCACGCTTTTCTGGGAAAAAAGAAGAGGGGCGGGGAGGGTCATTCACTTGCCATTGAGGTGGGTATGGTGTACTTGATTGAGGTTTACTTTCTGTGCAGGTGTTCAGGGGTTTAAGGTTTAGGGTTTTGAAGGTGCAGTTGATTGACTGACGAGGTGTTCAAGGGTTTAAGCCTTTAAGGCTTAGGGTTAAAGGTTTATGGTGCAGTTGATTGTGGTCCACTGGCTGTCGAGGTGTCAAGGGTTTAAAGGTTTAAAGGTTTAGGGTTGAGGGTGCAGTTGATTGTGGTTTACAGGGTGTTGAGGTGTTGAGGTGTTCAAGGGTTCACAGGTTTAGGGTTCACAGGTTTAGGTTTAGCAGCTACGACCTTGACCTTTCAGAACTACAACAACTATGACCCCTATGCAGGTAGGACTCCTACTTCGACAGGTCTAAGGTTCAAGACCCGACAACTACTCAAACCTACGACAGACAACTTTCAATTACTAACACACAGGTCATGGGTTCAAGACACACATGGTCGACTTGATACTGTACACGCGTAATGTAAGGTAAGGTAAGGCCTGGGGATCGAGCCCTGGGATCCGCATCTGTGACTGCAAAAAGGTGAAAACTGTTTCACTCCCGCCGGCCTAAATTCGAGGTCCGCCGAGAATATTTCAGTCTAAGGCAGGACCTTTTCCTTTCTTATCTCTCTCGTATGCTCGGACTATATCGGGAGCGGTCTCTAGAAGCTCTGCTCGTGTAAACCAGCGGTCGTCCTCTGGTTCCCGAAAAGCGAACCTGACCTTATACTGTTTTTGTGGACGACCCCTACCTCCAGTTCTGAAGACATCTTCACCTACGATGCCGTCAATGTCGTACCTTCCATCCATATCTGGAGGGATCATGGACCTCCGTGATGGAAACTGTTGACTTGTGGTACAAGGCAGCAACTTTGATGCATGTAACACCGGGTAGGTGTGGAGGTGCGCTGGAATCTCGACTGTGTAGGACAGTCCATCCTCTCCGCCCTTGACTGCTAAGACTGGCCACGGTCCTCGGTATGCAGGTAGTAACTTTTGTGAGATGTTCTCCTCATGAACAAACTCTTTGGACTTGACCCAGACATTTTGTATATGTATATGTATACATATGTTGAATTAAGAATATATTGTTTTATCTGCCTCTATAACTAAAAATGCAATAAGAGAACAATCAATGATCTCTTAGTTTATGCTCATTTATTACCCAGAACAGAGTTATACTTCTCCTTAAAAACTTTATTATTTAAGTCGCCTACTTGGAACTGTGATGGGCGACGGTGTGCTTATTGGCTTGCTCTATCATTCTATGCTGGGCTCTCCTAAGGTTCTCTGTGATGGTAGCAATCTCCTTTTCATTGTGTAGTGCAAACTCCCTAGTAACGGGCGGTAGTCTTTGAATCTGGTCCCGGTTCAGTCCTTCAAACGGTCTAAGTGGTCTAAAGGACTTATGTAACTTGTTGGGAGTGCAACAAGTCGCTAAGTGCACGTTGTTATTATATGCGCTGGCTACCTTAGAAAGAGAGAGAGAGAGAGAGAGAGAGAGAGAGAGAGAGAGAGAGAGAGAGAGAGAGAGAGAGAGAGAGAGAGAGAGAGAGAGAGAGAGAGAG